GCAAGAGCTGTTATCCTACCTAATGTCATCTGAAAGCTTCTAGAGACTTATTTATTTCGTCAGACACTCTCTCTCTCTCTCTCTCTCTCTCTCTCTCTCTCTCTCTCTCTCTCTCTCTCTCTCTCTCTCTCTCTCTCTCTCTCTCTCTCTCTCTCTCTCTCGTGAATCACCTCGCCAGTTGCCGTTCATTAAAGCACCTTCTCTTCACCAATTGTCGTGCTTCTTGCTAATTTAAATACTACCTTGATGGTGTGTTTAGCGTCGTGTGGGACTGTGTCGTGGGCTGTGTCGTGTGGGACTGTGTCGTGGGCTGTGTCGTGTGGGACTGTGTCGTGGGCTGTGCCCAAGATCCTCCTCTAATCTTATATAATTGCTTAGTCGTTCTGGGGTTCCCACAAATTTATAATATATCATTATATATATTTTTTTTTCATTTTGATTCTCCACCGTACTAATGGTCGTTCTGGGTGACATTTTCTTTGTTTTTTTTATTCGAATTTACAATTGATAATTTATAATTTACGATTGATAATCAAATATTTACATATATTATCTTTGTCAGAATTTTTGGAGATTGTATTGATCTAGTTTGCACGAAGCAGGATTATCTAATACGTCCTCCTAAGGTTGTCACAACGTCGAGAAACTGTCGTACTAAAGTGCCTCCTTATCCTAACCTGCCAGAGGACCCACAACGGAAAACGGGACAGAGTGCCAATCTGTCTACACACAAAACGGGACTAACTGTGTGTTTGTGTTCCAGTTGCTGGACTGATTGAAGATGTTTGGTTTAGAAATGGTGTGTTTGTTGATCGCTCTCTTCTCTTTGTCGTCTCTTCCCGTTTATCTCTCTCTCTCTCTCTCTCTCTCTCTCTCTCTCTCTCTCTCTCTCTCTCTCTCTCTCTCTCTCTCTCTCTCTCTCTCTCTCTCTCTCTCTCTTGCAGACTTAATGGAATGCATTAGGCAGTGATGTGGTGGAGGCTGACTCCATACACAGTTTCAAATGTAGATATGATAGAGCCCAATAGGCTCAGGAACCTGTACACCAGTTGATTGACAGTTGAGTGGCGGGACCAAAGAGCCAGAGTACACACACACACACACACACACACACACACACACACACACACACACACACACACACACAGACGCTTCATCAGGGCCGCTGTCAGTCCGTCTAACAAGCAACAAGGTGGAACACTTAGATCAGGAGCAGCAGGCGATCATTACCACAGTCAGAGGTCACCTAATGGTTCCCATACATCATCCCCACCTGGCCCTTAGTGACCCCCCTCCCCCCTCACTCTACTACCAGGCCTACACCTGTACCCATCTCCCCCCCCCCCTGGGCTTCAACCACTCATTATCATACCCGATGAGCATCATTAATTCTCTCCTCATTAAGTATCGTGGATGTCGTGGATATGTTTGTGATGGCGCCTAGCATCCCTCTGGCTCTTGTCCTGATGAGAGGCGTCACACTCTCAGGCAGGCTACATCCAGGATACAACCAGGCTACAGGCACACTGTACGTGATGTCACGACCTGCACGATGCGACGGTTTCGCTTCATGCAGGTCGGCGTTCAATCCCCCGACCGTCCACAAGTGGTTGGGCACCATTCCTTTTCCTCCGTCCCATCCCAAATGCTTATCCTGACCCCTTCCAAGGGTTATATAGTCGTAATGGCTTGGTGCTTTCCTTCTTATAATTCACTCTCTCCCCTTGCAGGGACTTCGGGATTCTGTAGTGGAGAATACAAGGAAATTAATGTAAGGCTCAGCCACACTTACATGCTCTCTGTACTGTATGAGTGTGTGTGTGTGTGTGTGTGTGTGTGTGTGTGTGTGTGTGTGTGTGTGTGTGTGTGTGTGTGGTTAAATATGTTTAGAAATTCTCTTAGCATGATGGCTTATTGCTCATCTTAGCTGTGTCTGCTGCAATGGCCAGGCAGCGTCACTCTGAGCCACTGATAAACTCAACTGCCCCTCTGTTTGGGAACAACATTTTGAGACAAATCTAATCATAGAATAACGCTTTTGGGGGGGGCCATTGGTGCGGCGGAATTTCGTCTTAGGAGCAACAGGACCTCCCGAGAGGAGGTTAAGGTGTGAGAGAGGACACTAAGGTGCTCCTCCTCCACCTCCCATTTTCTCCTCAAGACCAACACATTATGTACTAAACTATACACACAGAAATCACAATTAAGTGATATAGCACATGAACAAATCCAGAAGGAGTTTTGTTGAAAGGTTCGAATCTACGCGCTGAATGTTCCCAGACGCGCTCTAGTCAGCTCAACTAGTCCAGTTTAATTGAACTATAAATGAAATGAGAGTTTATTAATAAAGTAACTCAGTCATTTAAGGCAGCGTCTGGGAGCCTCTCGGACGTAGGGTTCGAATCCTCGTCACGGCCCTTGTGGAGTTGTTCAAACTATCGTTGTTTATTGTGGTAAGTATTCTTTTATTTGTGGTATTCTTATGGTGGTAAGAAATGGCCCGCCGAGAAGTATTCTTGAGAGAGAGTGAACGCGGGTACCCATCTTCTGGTGCCCAAGCAACCTTTCCCTGCTTCAGGTAATTGCTAATGACCCTCCAAGGAGTCGAATATGTCTCCATTATTACCCCTTCATTAACAGTTCCACCTGACAGCAATGTTTTCCACTTGTGTTCGACTGTGCTTGTCTCTGACGCTGTAATTTGCAAATTGTGATTAATTCGCTGTTGGCAATTTAGCTAAATATTAAGTTTAGCGGAGGAAAGGTCTCGCGACAAGTTTCTCCCGCGCGAGGCGTCCGGAGCCGTCATGCGGGCTTGAACTCGCTGTCACATGATGAACCACCACTAAAATATGACAAAAGATTGAATTACAAGACGTTTTGGCAGACGTAATATACGATAAAAATGCAAGAAACAAAGGAGTATGAACCGAAATTATGACCTATTAAGCATGTAAACATTAGAAATTATTTGAATTTTACCTTAAGTTTGTAGAAGAAAACGTCTGTTGACGGAGGAGTGGAATGGAGGGAGGGGGGAGTGGGATGGAGGGAGGGAGGGGGGATAGAGGGAGGGAGGGGGGGGATGGTGTGAGGGAGGGGGGGATGGAGGGGAGGGGGGGGGGGGGGAGGGGATAACGACACCAAACCACTTGATAATTATACAAAAAAACATCAAAAACAGAACCTGTGTTCCATCAGACTGTTGACATCATTTCTGTATTTCTCGGAAAACTTTTGCCTCTCAGAAACGTCTTAACTCTTAGAGAATCTTGAACTAAGAGTTCCTAGGGCTATTTAATCTTCTTAGACTCACTTAGAAAGTCGCCATCTTGAAGACTCTTAGATTGAGAGAGTTCCCACTTGAGGAAGAATGATATAGTGGCAGGCGATGAGGCACAATAACGTGGCTAAAGTATGTTGTTTGATCGACTTGAGAATGGTCCAGGACGGACCGAAACGTCGTCGTCCCTTCACCTTCTAGTGTGTGGTCTGGTCAACATAGTGGCAGTGTGTGACATGAAGAGCAGTCGAGTCCTCTATAGGAGACATTGTAGAGTCCTATAGCTTCTTATACTGCATCTTGGAGGCCACTTCAACATTGTCTCGCCATTCTCCAAGAACTTAGACTGGTTGGTACAAAGATAGCCTCGCTTCTTGCTGATCGGCGTTCGATCCCCCGATGGTTCAAATGGGCACCGTTCCTTCCCTCCGTCTTGCCTGTCCCAGTTCCTTGTCCTTCCAAGCTATGGAAACAAGGAGCTCTTCCGAGCCTCTAATATCTCTCCAGGGAAGCTGTATAGGCGTATAGTGGCTTGGCGCTTTTGCCTCATGATTACCTTACCTTCTATATCGTCTATGAGTGCGTGTTTGCTACATTTGTGCTTGCAGATTCGAGCTGCTAGCTCTTGGACCCCGCCTTTCTAACTGTCGGTTGTCTAAAATACTGATTCTCTACCTATTTTGTTCTGTGATTTCTACTTCACCTCTCTCTCTCTCTCTCTCTCTCTCTCTCTCTCTCTCTCTCTCTCTCTCTCTCTCTCTCTCTCTCTCTCTTTATCTCTCTCTCTCCCTCTCCCTCCCCCACCCCGCTCTGCCCTCCTGATAAATCCTATCTCGGCACAATTAGCAACAGGGGCAAGCATGACAGCCAGAGGTACTCACCTCTGTTGTGTGTCTCACTTATACAATAGCTCACTAACTTCCAGATACCTGCCTATTTCTATTTGAACAAAGGCGTCACGTGAAACAACAACAAAACTGCCCATTTGTTTCTGACGCCGGCAGGAATCGAACCCGAATTTGTGGATTATAAACACCGAACGCTGATCTCTCTGCCGCGATAACCCATATGTGTGTATTTACTATTTGTGTCTGCAGAATCAGGCTATTAGGTCTTGGATCCCGCCTTTCTACCCAATCTATTTTTCCTCTATTATGTCTACTACATATATTTCTCTGTGACACACACACACTCCCTCCAGGAAGCAGCCCGTATAGCAGCTGTCTAACTCCCTGGTACCTGTTGTGTCGTGGCTGAGGCAAACAGTGTGTATGTCGTCGTATGTATGTCATACATATGACATACACCTTATCCAAGAAAGCTAATCTGAAGGCTTATGCTCATCCTACAGGACTCTTGGATTAGATAAAAATATGACATTAAAAAGAGGTAACAGCCAATTTGGTTAATGTCCTAGTTGAAATAATTGCTATTGCTAATTAACTTAACGAATCATCTGACTTTACACATGAGAGAGAGAGAGAGAGAGAGAGAGAGAGAGAGAGAGAGAGAGAGAGAGAGAGAGAGAGAGAGAGAGAGAGAGAGAGTGAGAGAGATTAATGTAAGCCTCAATATTAATCACGAGACGTGTCCTACCGCCGTGATAATGATCAACTTTCCCTCTTCTAGAGGTTATTCATTATCATCTGGGAGGCTGGGAGAGCTGGGAGATGAAGAGAGCTGGCAGCCTCCAGGGATGCTGACCACTACTGGGCAGCCTCCAGGGATGCTGACCACTACTGGGCAGCCTCCAGGGATGCTGACCACTACTGGGCAGCCTCCAGGGATGCTGACCACTACTGGGCAGCCTCCAGGGATGCTGACCACTACTGGGCAGCCTCCAGGGATGCTGACCACTACTGGGCAGCCTCCAGGGATGCTGACCACTACTGGGCAGCCTCCAGGGATGCTGACCACTACTGGGCAGCCTCCAGGGATGCTGACCACTACTGGGCAGCCTCCAGGGATGCTGACCACTACTGGGCAGCCTCCAGGGATGCTGACCACTACTGGGCAGCCTCCAGGGATGCTGACCACTACTGGGCAGCCTCCAGGGATGCTGACCACTACTGGGCAGCCTCCAGGGATGCTGACCACTACTGGGCAGCCTCCAGGGATGCTGACCACTACTGGGCAGCCTCCAGGGATGCTGACCACTACTGGGCAGCCTCCAGGGATGCTGACCACTACTGGGCAGCCTCCAGGGATGCTGACCACTACTGGGCAGCCTCCAGGGATGCTGACCACTACTGGGCAGCCTCCAGGGATGCTCCTCTCAATCGAGAGAGGAATCGGTGTTTTTTGTTCAGTTTTAAACAACTCTGTGAAGTTATTCTCGATGATTGATTGGGTAGTGGAGATGGATAGGGGAGGGAGGAGGTGGATGGTGATGGATGAGGTAGTTGAGCAGTGGCTGGTCTCCTTTTCTGTCTGTCTGGCCTTGCCTGTCTCACTTCAACAGTCTGTCTGTTTTGCTCTGTCTGTCTGTTGATCACGTTGTTAATCCTGGGATTCAGATAACTTCACCCCCACATATTGACGGGGTGACTGTCCTGGGCCCTCGTCACGTGGTGACTTTCAACTTTCTCTCTCTCTCTCTCTCTCTCTCTCTCTCTCTCTCTCTCTCTCTCTCTCTCTCTCTCTCTCTCTCTCTCTCTCTCTCTCTCTCTCTCTCTCTCTCTCTCTCTCTCTCTCTCTCTCTCTCTCTCTCTCTCTCTCTCTCTCTCTCTCTCTCTCTCTCTCTCTCTCTCTCTCTCTCTCTCTCTCTCTCTCTCTCTCGTGAAACAGAGAAACTAGAAAACTTTCTTTGTTGACATATCAATTTTGATTTGAGATGTTTGAAGGGAATACGAGGCCTGGGGGTGTGAGGAATGGAAGTAGAGGGAAAGGAAAGATAATACAGGAAGAATGGAGGGAAGGCGAACATTGGAGGAAGGGGGAAAGAGAAACTAAAGAAGAGAAAAGGAAGATCAATTCAATAGGACGAGAGAGAGAGAGAGAGTGAGAGGAGTGAAAAGAAGAAAGAGCAGAGAGATGGAAGCTAAGCAAAAGGGATTGAATGGGATTGAAGGAATTGAAAAATATACTGAATAAAAATGTACAGTGGTTAAATAGTTGTTAATTAAAATGCATATTTTAATACAGCACTAGCAAAAATAAATATTTTTAGGACGAGCAGAAACAGCCTTCATTTTTTTAAAGGAGTTAGTCCTCTAACCGCGGCTGCCTGATCCATTTTCTTATACGATAAAATTAAAGAAAATATGAATTTGGGGGAAACATGTATATTATCGACGAAACACATGCAATTTATTTATTTATTTATTTTATTTATATATACAAGAGTTGCAACATTTTGTACGGCCATTAGTACGCATACCGTCACTGTGTTATCACATATGATAGTGAAAGGGAGGACGAAAGTGACATCTTTCTTTCGAAATCTTTACTTTTCTGAGGAAGGGAAGTATCAGAGAAAATGACATACATCTTCATTTGATTTCTCAATACAAATGTTTCGTAGCTAGTAAGCCAGCCTGGGTCTCCTTGAGTTGCCAGAGCGGACAAAATATGGGGTACTGTATAAAACTATCGACTGTACCAATAAGAGCAGCTTATAGATAGAGCCCGGGTGCAGGGGGGAGGTGTGTAAAATCCTGGTTTGTGTCTCGGAGAGGCTGCAGGCTCAGTGTGAGGTCAGTTGAACTTCCGGTTGCAATTCTTTTGACCATATCGTAGCACAGTCGATTAATGCGCGTCTGGGATCATCCCGGACGTAGGTTCGACGCCTCATTGCGGCCCTTGTGGATTTGGTGATGCTTCACGCTATTGTGATTTCTGTTTGTAGTATGTCAGCTTGTACTCCTGTCATTCACAGTCTGAATTGACGTACAATACACTGTACTGTTAAGACAAGGTTGCGAGTCTTATCATGACTTCTGTCACTGTTTAATCGTCTTGTGTCACCATCTTGTCGTCTCGTCATGACTGCCACTTGCACCAATACAGTGATTACTTTGCCTGGTGCTGTCAAGTCCCACGACACACCTGGTGAGCTTGGAGGAGGGACACAGTACGTGTCCTCCTTCACACAACAGTACACTGAGCATCTTCCCTCTTGGCCGTCGCTTATATAGCAGTAAGGATGCTGGCAGAGCATCATCACGTGATGCAGGGGGTAGTGGACACGTGACGCCAGCTGACAGCTCCTGTCAACACACACTTCTCACGTGGTTGGGGACGGCGTCACTCTGTCCAAACTGTAGCTTTGACGGTTGTGCGGGACTCCAGGAGCATTTTGGACGCCCCAAACGTGAGGGAAGTGGAGGAATGACGGGTGTGGAGAGTGTGGTGTGTGGTGAGAAGCCGAGCATGTGTGTGTGTGTGTGTGTGCATGTGTTAGGCACGTGGTGGGGCCAGGTTAGACCACGTGGTGGTCTGGCCTGGTGGTTATCCTTCTGGACGACTGGTGTACACACACACACACATATACACAGTTGATTGACAGTTGATTTACCAGTTGATGGATACTTGAGAGGAGGGACCAAAGCGACAAAGCTCAACCCACGCAAGTACAACTAGATGAGTACAACTAAGTGAGTACACACACACACACACACATTCAGGAATCATCCAGAACCTTGTACACCACATATGTAAGACCAATCCTGGAGTATGCGGCCCCAGCATGGAGCCCGTACCTTGTCCAGCACAAGACGAAGATGGAAAAAGTTCAGAGGTATGCCACTAAGCTAGTCCCGGAACTAAGAGGCATGAGTTACGAGGAAAGGCTGCGTGAAATGCACCTCACGACACTGGAAGACAGAAGAGTAATAGGAGACATGATCAATACCTACAAAATTCTCAGAGGAATTGACAGGGTACATAAGGATAAACTTTTTAACACAAATGGTACACGAACAAGGGGACACAGGTGGAAACTAAATACCCAAATGAGCCACAGGAACGTTTGAAAGAACTTTTTCAGTGTCAGAGTAGTTAACAGATGGGATGCATTAGGCAGTGATGTGGTGGAGGCTGACTCCATACACAGTTTCAAATGTAGATATGATAGAGCCCAGTAGGCTCAGGAACCTGTACACCTGTTGATTGACAGTTGAGAGGCAGCCAACACCACCAGCTGGTGGCAGAGACCAGATGGTAGCAGAGACCACCTGGTGGCAGAGACCAGATGGTGGCAGACAACACCCACCTTAAACTTGCTCCAATACCCGCTTGAGATCCGCTTACCCCCCCCCCCCCCCCCCAGGTGACCGCCAGACTGGTCGAAGGCTGTGTGGGTGTGGTCTTCAGGCTCTCATAACTATGACCATGTTCATCATGAGGCATGAGCCTTCAGGTCAGACTTGAGTTTCCACACACCTGTAGGTGAGTTGGGGTGCAGGTGAACCCACTCCGGGCTAGGTTGCTGAGAGCGTCGGGCGGGCTGACCGCCCCCTGTTGCTAGGGGGCGGCTGCCTTACCTACAGGCGGCCTTTGCTAGGGGGCGGCTGTCTTACCTACAAGCAGCCTTTGCTAGGGGGCGGCTGCCTTACCTACAAGCAGCCTTTGCTAGGGGGCGGCTGTCTTACCTACAGGCAGCCTTTGCTAGGGGGCGGCTGCCTTACCTACAAGCAGCCTTTGCTAGGGGGCGGCTGCCTTACCTACAGGCAGCCTTTGCTAGGGGGCGGCTGCCTTACCTACAAGCAGCCTTTCCTAGGGGGCGGCTGTCTTACCTACAAGCAGCCTTTGCTAGGGGCGGCTGCCTTACCTACAAGCAGCCTTTGCTAGGGGCGGCTGCCTTACCTACAAGCAGCCTTTGCTAGGGGGCGGCTGTCTTACCTACAGGCAGCCTTTGCTAGGGGGCGGCTGTCTTACCTACAAGCAGCCTTTGCTAGGGGGCGGCTGCCTTACCTACAAGCAGCCTTTCCTAGGGGGCGGCTGCCTTACCTACAGGCAGCCTTTCCTAGGGGGCGGCTGCCTTACCTACAAGCAGCCTTTCCTAGGGGGCGGCTGCCTTACCTACAAGCAGCCTTTGCTAGGGGCGGCTGCCTTACCTACAAGCAGCCTTTGCTAGGGGCGGCTGCCTTACCTACAAGCAGCCTTTGCTAGGGGCGGCTGCCTTACCTACAAGCAGCCTTTGCTAGGGGCGGCTGCCTTACCTACAAGCAGCCTTTGCTAGGGGGCGGCTGTCTTCTCACAGGAGCTACGCTGCCTTCTGGTAACATCTTAAGAAGAACATTTAAAGCATGTGTTAGAATGCTCTCTGGTTGTGGCGTCTCTCCGTATTCCATTCCGTAAATTATGCGACTGTTCGGCCTAACTAGAGACATATGAACTCACTTACCGCACCGAGCATAGACAACGTTAGTATCTCGGTGTTTTAATTAGAAATTACAACAGATCAAAATGAACATTTATTTACGACTATTCAATCATTTGTAGTGTTTTGTCCTGAGCCTTGACACCTGTTTTAATGACATTTTTTGCAATATTTGGCTGAAATGTGTGTGTGGTTCCCACGTTGACCAGAAATGACAAGTGTTGATTAGTCAACCTTGTTCTCTGAGACTGTTGTTGTTGTTGCTTAAGATTTAGCTACTGGGAACAAAATGTTCCAAGTAGCACGGGCTATGGTGAGCCCGTAGTGGACTTACCTGGCACAGGAGCGGGGCTGTAACGTGACTCTGAGACGTTTTCGTTGATTTCATGAAAGAAAATAACTGTTCACACACACATAGGTAGAACCGAACATTGCCATAATCCTTGTGACAAACTTTCTGAGGTTTTTAAACTTTTCAGGAAGGTTTGAAAAGTAACCAGGTATTCCCCCCTTCAAGATACTTTGCTCTGAGAGTTTAATCCATTTCTAATTGTTCTATCTGCAGACTTTCTGCTGCCTGGGGGACATCATAGGTGACTGGTGCTGAGACTACTACAAAGTGGTGTTCTAAAGATGAGAAATCACTAAATCACGTCATGTCTATTTTTAGGAGTGAGACGCTTGCCTCACAGCTGCATTCGTGTTCCCGTTGTGCCTTTGAAATCTATTAGAAGGTGGTAGTTTAAATGATTAAAAACTGCAATTATGGCCGTTAAATGGCCTCGTTACAGTAGCCTTTGCGCGGACGGTAGGTGTGCTTGCAAAGGGCCCCATGGTTGACATGTCTGGGAGTAGAGGAGTACCCCACATGTTGACATGTCTGGCCCTCACAGCCTTTTACGGCAAGCTAAAGTCTTCTGCGCCTGACTTGTGGGTTTGTGAGGGAGCGTGTGAGGGAGCGTGTATGCTCACTACACTGATTCTCAGGTGTAATGACCCAGAGGGCTGAAGCACCACACGGGAC